CCCCAACTTCTAGGGTCGTGGCCCGAGGCCCCAACTGGCCCCCGTTGAGCTTGTCACCGACACCACTGACGTCGCCTTCGCTTTGCATTCTGCATATGCCTTTCTCTAGGCATTCTTGAGCACATCCATATGGTGTGATAGGTGATGCACCATCCTCCTTGACATGGCCCGATGGGCGACATATGCTTGTCGCTGACACTTGCACACTACGTGGGCGTCACAACCTACTCTCTACTAGTATGGTTGTGACACAATCCATATGAAAGAATGGAAAAGAAATAATAATATCTTCCAAAGAAAAAAAAAGAAAAAAGATATAATAATATCTCCCAAAGAAAAAGAAAATAAGGTAAATTATACAAACAACTCTTGAATAAATACGATGTTGATTACAATTACACCTCCAAACAATATAAATAATTTCAAATCCTACTCCTAAAATTTGGTGAAACAGAATCTTTGATGCCCATCCTGATCCCATTAATTTATTTAGTTGTATATCACATTACATTAATCTACTAAAAAATTGTATATCATGCCAAAGTATTTTTTTAGGATGACGATGAGAAAGAGTAATTAAATAAGACAGTATTTAGTATTTTGTGTGTGTAATTTAAGGAGGTAGAAAATATGGGAAATTATCCACCAAACAATGTTATTATGTGGAGCACAGGTAGAGAGCAGCCTTAATATCTTCCACACGTGCCAGTGTCACGTAACGTCGCGACAAAATCGGACGTAAATGAACGGGAAAACAAAAGTATCGGAATGATACAGAGAACGGACGAGAGATTATATACCCTTTCCAAAAATCCCTATCATAGCGGGCCCCACACTTCCTTCCTTGCAATGCCACGTCGATTTATCTAATTCACATTTTGACTACATTTTACTCTTCCTAATTATCCACATGCCTCGCACATAGACATCAAAGTAAAATTAGATTTACCTGATAGCTGTTCATCGGCTCGGACAACATTTAACTATTGACTTGTTATTAGTAATCTCATGTTTACTATTATTATATTTTTTATAAGTAGAAGAAAAGAATGTAACGATAAAGATAAATTAGATTTACCTAGTAACTGTTCACCTGCTTGAACAATACTTAATTAGTTACTGATTCATTATTAGTAATTTTATGTTTATCTATTATTTTTTAAAAGCAGAAGAGAGAGAAGATTTTTTTTTTTTTTTAAAAAAATAAGTGTTAATCAGTAGGAAGATTTCTACTTGGATAAACTTTTAACTTTTTGTATTTAGACTAGAAACTTCACTTGAATTTTTTTTTGGTTTGAGAGCCACTTGAAAAACAACCCTACATGAATATACATGTTAAAATAATATTTTTTGTCCTCAATACCTACTTTATTTCATTTTGAATTTTGAATTTTAAATTTTTAAAATTGGTCAAAAATTAAAGGAAGAACTATATTGATTGGGATGATGATTATTTCAAACATGTGTATTAATAGGTTGATGTAGGAATATTTGCCATGTGGACTATCAAATTTGGGTTGTAATAACCCATCTCAAGTAACCCACATAGCTTCAATACATACTTGTGTTAACAAGTTTTGTACCAATTTATTTGAAACCACATTGTTCACAAAAAATCACAATGGTGACTTTTTGAAAAGTTGAAGAAGAAAAATAAACTCTAAAATATAAATGGTAAATTAACGAGAATTGATCCATTAAACTAATTCGCTTAGCTAGATATTTATTTATGTATTTTTATAAATAGGTACCTTCCTACATTTCTACTATTAAAAAAATTGACAACTATTTATTCTATTTTCTTTTTCTTTCTTTGTACATTCATCTCTTTTAGTTGTCAACTTTTTAAGGGTAGTAAATAGAATATACTAGTTTATTTACTGTCAACTAAATTTTTCTAAAATCAATTTTTTAATTTGACAAAAAGGGGAGTGATTTTGACAATAACAAAAAGTGATTTTGGGCACGCTAAAATCACTTCGGAACGGACCTTAATTTAGTTTGGTTCGGGATTTTGGGGGCTTAAAGAAGAGAAGAGGGAAGCCAAGTGTGTAGAGGAGATCCCACCAGAGAATCCAGTTGGTGACACGATCCCAGTGATTCGTCATCCCCAACTAGTGGACTTCCCCCACCTGATGCCACGTCTCCCTTCACCCTCTCACTATAAATTTACACTTCTCCGGACCCTCTCTTCCATCCAACAGCCTTCAATTTCTCAACTAAATTTCAAAACACATGGAGAGAAAGCAGCAGCCCAACCCCAACCCCAAAACCAACCATAACCATAATAACAAAACCATGGGTCAGGCTCAGGCTCAGGCTCAGGCCAGCTCTAGGAAGGGCTGCATGAGGGGCAAGGGCGGCCCTGAGAACGCTGCTTGCACTTTCAAAGGCGTCCGCCAGCGCACCTGGGGCAAATGGGTCGCCGAGATTCGCGAGCCGAATCGCGGGGCTCGCCTCTGGCTCGGCACCTTCGACACTTCCCAAGAAGCTGCCGTGGCCTATGACGCTGCCGCCAAGAAGCTCTACGGCTCTGAAGCTAAGCTCAACCTTCCCCAAATCTCTGCTGCGCAGCCGGTTGCTACTAATCCCCCGGTCTCAAATAATAATGATATTGCTTCTTCCAGTGCCACGCCAAACTCGTGCCCTACCAAGACGATGTCTCGACTGGAGGAGTTTGGAGGGCTCTGGGGGAACGAGAACGTGAACGTGGACGACTCAATATGGAAGGAGGCACTGATGTCTTTGGACTTTCCCATCATTGAAGATGAACAAGGGTTTTTCTTCGATGGAGTGAGCACTTGGGACACCTTGCACTGGTGCATCTAATTTCTCCTACACAGCTATAAAAAGTTGTAAATAAGTATATTACAACTTTTTATGTTAAATATTGAGTTAATTATCATGAGCTAAACCAGGGGTATTTTACCTATGTATATGTTTGTGTGTATGTGTGTACTACTCGATCTCCAGGAAGGATAAAAATAAGCTTTTTTTTAGATTTTCAAAGGGTTCTTCTCCAGAAAAGATAAAAATAAGTCTTCTTAGGTTTACAAAGGATTCTTGTTAAGATCATCCTTGTTTGTATGTTGTGTTCGTTTAAGAGTTTTTTTCCTGATGGAAGAAAGAGAGGCCAGAGTTCATAAGTATGTTGTATGTATATATATATATATATATATATATATATGTAATATATAAGTGTGTGGTGTGGATTATTATGAATTATATGTTTCATATTATGGCTTAAAATTATATTTATAAGTGTATTCACATATCACTCCTATCTAATTCAGTTTTGAATCCTATTAATCATAGCCATTCTATTATGTAGCCTAAATTATACTTATAAATTTGGATCATAGATCACTTATTTAGTTCAATTTTAAATAGATTTTTCGTTCCCTACCATGGGGTTTAAATCATTGATATATAGATTTTTCGTTCCCTATCATGGGGTTTAATTTGATATATATGTATATGTATGTGTGTATGTATAGATGAACTTGCTAGAAGTTGCTAGAAGTTCATAATTATATTATTATGAATTATATATTTCATATTGCAGCGGTTCACATTATCACCCTTGTAGCTTAAATTATAATTATAAATTTGGATGACAAATCACTTATTTAGTTTAATTTTAAATAGAATTTTAGGTCCGTTAATTTAGTTCAATTATAATTTTAAAATAGATTTTTTAATCATGGATATTTACATCTGTGTATGTCTGTGTGTTGTAAGTATACCCAACTCATATTCACCAGGATAAAAATAAAAAGGGTTCTTGTTCAGATCATAATATTTGTTGGTAGATTCTTCTCCTCCTTTTTTTCCTTATAAAGAAAAACAGAGTAAACGGACTCACTAGAGTTCATAATTATGTAATATATAAATATATGTGGGGTACTGAATTCTTATGAATTATATGTTTCATAGTGTAGCCTAAATTATATTTAGAAGTTTGGTTCATACTCTTAGTTTTCAATTTTAAAGACATTTTGCGAGTCCTTTGATCATAATCATTCTATCATATTGTAGCTTAAATTATAATTATAAGTTTGGAATCACAGATCACTTATTTAGTTCAATTTTAAATTGACCAATCTTCAATTTTAAACAGATGTTTTTGTTATATGTATTTAAAAATTAAGATATGATTTGTTAACTATTTTAATTTTGATTTTTTGTTTTACAAACTATGTGAGATTCCTTACAATTTTGATGAATTTCATTGATATATGTTCATTATCTTTCTTAAAAATACATTTGAATTTTTAGCTAAATAAAAAAAAAAGTTATTAAAATGAATGTTTTCAAATCTCATCTATACTATATGTAAATAGAGCTGGAGGAGAATCTTTATCGTCTCATTTTGCCCTGAACTTTTTAAGATATATCAAGTTTACCGTTCATCTATATTATATATTCTTCTAGAATGCTATTATTTAGAGACGTATGACTCTTCTTCCATTACAAAATTTATAGGGAAAGAGTGTACATTAACAACTATATCTTCTTTCCCCCAAAAATGTCTACGAAAATCAAGTAAAGTATAAAAATTGATGTGAATTCTGAGCATTATGTTTTATAAATTTATAAATTTATGTGAATTATTGTATTGTTATCATATTCTTAGTATTATTTTTTCTAAACTGACATAGAGTTATTGTTGTTTTCTCTTTAATTATTATTTTTAGATCCCTACAAAATTATATTTAATATTTGTATTTATCCTACTTATTTTTGTTTTCATGATCTTTTGGATTTTTTATTTTATGTTTATATTTTTTTTACCTAAGAGATGAACAAGCATGACAATACACTCTCATGCCAACATACAAGCAACTTCCTTCTTCATTGAGATAAATTTAAGAATAGATTGAAAAATTGACTATATAACACATTTTTTTTATGATATTTCAATTCAGCCATAGTTGTAAGACAATGTCTCTGTCCAGGAGACTACAAGTTCCTCTATGAAAAACTGTCCATTCACCAATGCTGAGATTTAAAAAAAAATTTGTATTTATTAATTTTAATTGTTGGGTTTCTAAATTAATGTTAATTTTCTACCTAACTGAGTATCTGACAGTTTCTTAGATTGACGTGGGTAGTTATTGTTATCTTTAACTACTTTTAGATTCTATGTTTATATTTTTTAATTTTTTTACATATATCTGAATTCAAAAATCTATTTAATCTATTAAAGAGGTAGAGTATAAAATTATGTACTCTTGTTATCTTTTAACTTTTAGTTTTTTTAGATTATTTTAATTATTTTATGTAGATTATTTTAAATGATATATATTCATGATACCTTCATGTTTTAATATTTAGTTAAGGTGTTTAATTTAATATTCGGTTAATCTTTTTTCCAGTTTTAAAATATATTCAATTTTTCCAGTATAAATTACCAAAACCTCCACTTTTCTTTTATCCAATTTATGAATGATATGTTATAGGATGATTTTTTTGGTTCCCATATTTAAAAATAGAAATAGGTAAACTAGAAACTTAATTTTTCAAAAGGTTTAATTGGTACGGGAAAGAAATAGGCCATAAAAGGATCAAAATGTTTTTCACGCTCAAATTTTAAGCTCTCATACTCATATAGTTGAGGAGGCAATTCATGAGTTAATTAGCTTGAAGATTGCATAAATAGGAAATGAAAAACGAAGAGATACTTTTTCTATAAATATAGACCAATTTAAATCTCACTTATTTTATTAAAAGTAAATAATTATTTAGTAAATAAATTATATGCCACTGTATAATTTAAAATTTGAAGTTTCTAATTATAATTAGTATTATATTATTTATTATTAATAATAACCCCTTATCATTAAAGATAACTTGCGACCTATTAATTTCTTTTAAGCTTCTATTCAATCAACAAATAGTTTTGATTACCATCTCTTGATATAATGGTATAAAGTATCTCACACTAATCTAATCGAAGCAATTGGATATCCGACTCGCTTTTAATTTTCTAATGAACTCATTTTATTCATTAACTCTATGCACTGTTAAAATTTAACATCAAACATGAGTTCTATTACAAGTCAATGCGCCCTAGTTATGTCAAGGAGAATAATAGAAGACGCCTTAATCTACAAATATTATTAAAAAAATGGTATAGAATAAAATACAATTCGTTAAAACTATATATAGATTATACAAAAATAGTCTACTACAGAAAGAAGTAACAATAACCAGATAACATTTAAGTATTAGTGCAGACTTATAGCAGCTAGCTGAAGATCAGAAATGTAGACCGATCCTAATTTACTTATTTTTTACAACATAATTTAAATTAATATTTGATCTTTATGGTAATATAAATAAAAAAAGTTGGATGTCAGTGAGGTACAGGTAAATGTAGGTTGTTCCCAGATGGGTCTCCATTTATTATCAGTTAGGTTTAGAGCATAGAAGGGTGCTTTCACTTTAATGAGTTTTGAAAGTTTGAGTATTTTGATGGCGTTTGAGGTGTCGCTATTTCTGTTAATATTTAGAGAGAAAAGTTGCGTTGTTCTTTGGAGACATACATGTGTATGAAGAAAAGAAAAAGGGAGAGATTGAGAGAGCTAGAGGGAGAGAGAATTCGTAATGTTCATGCATTTGAAATTAAGTGAATTGGAATGGAAGCAATTGGGAGATACAAACGTTTAAGATAGAACAGCCAGAATTCAAGAAATGATGATTCTGAATTTGAGCATCTCCTGCATGTCTTCCTCTTGTCTGCAAATATCAATGACACCGCCAGTTCGAGTACTGACTCAAGTTTAGGCAAAATTTGTCTCTTGAGCCCAAATTCTAAGAGCTACCAAGTGTAGATTCTCGTGGCGAGTAGGCAAATTCGAACAAGTCGATTGTATGTTTTATGGTAATCTGATGGTGAAGGGAAAATTTTGTTAATGAAATCAGTACTGTTGAATTCTGTTAACTGAGAGTGTTCTGATCATCAGTATTAGTTATGGAAGTGAAATTACACAAAAGTATCGAGGTTTAATCATATGATAGAGCAACTGTGAAAATTATTTAATGAGATCAGTACTGTTTGATTCTGCTGATAGTTTGTACTCGAAAAAAGAAAATTCTACTGATAATTATTGTAGATTCTGCGTAAAGAATTTTGGGGTCGTCACCCATTGAAGGTGCGTTTCGACACCTAATTAGAATATTAAAATTGATCTGCATAAATCGGTTACCATATTTTTATCTTATATTATCCAAGTATCTTATTATAAAAAAAATGTCCTTTATTTTAAAGAATAAGTATTTAATTATAGATTTTGTTTTTATTTTTTATTTTTAAAATATCATTTCGATAAAAACTCAACAACGATTCATTCAACTCTGTAGGTCTCAATCCTAGTCAAGACTTGCCTTAGACAGAGTTCACTTATGACCAATGTTTGGTTAATTATCCAAATATTTTTTTAAAAAATTATTTGATACAATGAGTGGTGTTAGTGTCATTAATTCAATACCATGTTTAAATTTTCTTTTAAATATAAGAAGGCTCTTACCTCAAGAATTTGAGAAGTGATATAATCTCAACTCCGTTGTTGGAATTTACATGACATCGTTTTAGAAAAATCTATTTAATATTATGAAAACTATGATGGTCTCAATGCATCTACACGAGAGTCGAAACTCCACAAGACACATTACTAAGAATTTTCGCGCACCTGCACGGGAGCCGAAACTCCACGAAAGTGCACTACTCAGTCATTAAAATAAAATTATTGTTAAAGAAAGTGATTTTATTTATTATATTATTTTGGAAAACAATATCTTGTGACCAATTTTTAAAATTCAATTATAATTGAACTTGATCAAGCCATAATAGAAATATTTTATTTTTTAGGTTTTCTTATCTTTGTTTTTTGACCCACCATTTCATACGTAATAAGCTAGCAGTTGAAACCCACAAATCAAATTTTACTAAACTTCTAATTTCATTTAACTAATTTAATTAAAGTTGAAATCACACAATATATGAT